GAGAGAGAGAGAGAGAGAGAGAGAGAGAGAGAATAAAATAAACTCGTTGTGTGTACGGTTATACGAATGTGTAAAATTCTAGGCGGACAATAAAGAGTCACGGCGGTCGCGTTATTCTTTTTAATTCTCCTCAATCGTGACGTCAAGTCGCTTCCTTCCGTTGGTGCACGGCACTCTGGTCCGGATGCGAGCTTGATTCGTCGTCGGGGAGACGTTTTGTCGGTGTTCCCAACATATTAAAACCGTTCAATTTGCACGTGTTGATATTTAATCATTTCCCTATCTACTCTACTCAACCCCCACCCCCGGAGCGTTTTTGAGATCTCAACAGTCTACTCTTGACATTTCTTTGTATTGGCAGGAATTAATATGATAGTGTTCTTACAAGTCATTATTCCTTGAATGTTTTTTTTTTTTCACACTGTCCGCAAAACGTCGTTTTACGGAAACTTCATTTTTACACATAATTAATAAATCTTTAACATATGAACAATCTCATTACAATAGTAAAACGGAAAGAGGCACAGAAAAAGAAAATATAGGGAACATTTTTCCGGGCAACAAGTATTCGGGTACGGGGTGCTTCAGCTGGACCTGAAGCAATTTCCACTCCGGTATGAGTTCAAATTTTTTTTGTTTTTTATAGCAGATCATAATTACAATTAATAAAAAGTTATCAGAAGAAAAAAAACAATCTTCAATATCTCCGCCGATTAATAATTGAGGTACAAAGCTCTGGTTGTGCTTATTCGGTTTGATTTGAGCTATACAGAGAGAAAAAATATAGATTAGCTTTAGAATTACAACTAGATTCTAGATTTTAAAAACTTCTGTTCTCAAGCTTTATCCTTGGTGAGATCATAAAAACTAACGAATTTGGGGATTGTTTTTAAGAACAAATATTTTCTACAACCAATGCTGAATTTTTCGGAATTTTAGAAAACTAGAAAAGGGCACGCCCTTCGCGCATGTATTGTTTTCCATTTGTGACAGAATAGTAAAACCTTACCGTTTCTCACTTTCATTAATTTTTATCTCAATAAAAATGCAGGAAAAATGGATAGTTTCAACAAAGTTTTTCATAATGAGAATTCAATAGTTGAATAATTTATTCGGAATCGTCATAATATTCTTCTCCGTTACTCTTTTGCTTTTTGCGTTCTTCTTTATATTTAGGGATGCATTATGTACTATTATTCATATATACTATCCTATATATCGAGATACGCGGCAGCGTATCGGCCAAGAAAAGTTTTGACTCCGATTGTACAAAACATCAGGCCGATCGCTGCCGTGTATCTATACACAAAGCAACTACCCCCTCCACTACCTCCGAATCATATCCATGAAATAAAATACAAACGTGACGAGCTACATGAAAAATACTCTTAGTTACATTATATAAATTGGCCACAAGCTTCTCATTGATGTAACTATTTTTTTGTTCGAAGCAATATTTTAAAAAATACGCGCATAGCAACGGGATCATATGCACATTCTCGCATTTCACATCAACAACTATCATATTTTTGTTACGGAGTTGGTAGCAGTGCAATACAACCACACGCACCAAAGAGGGAAGCCCGAGAATTTACAAATTGAATATGGTGCATGAATGATGAATTCCACAGATATTTTTCAATCGAGTTCCGTGCACAAATGAATTCTCGAAGAAGCAAATTCAGTCGGAAAATCTTGAATAAATAATTAAAAGTTGGTGCAAATACCGACTGTGGAATAGAACTATTTGTTTTACTTCGATTGTTAATTGGAAAGATGATTTATCATGTGAAAAATAAATGAGCCGAATTGAATTGAAAATGAAAAAATTTACAGGATATAAAAACGATTCCTTGTTTATTTTGAACAAAAAATGAAATCTCCCTAAAAAAACAAAAACAAATGTCTTTACAAAAAAACTGCGCCAAGAAAGTCTTGTTTGGTTCTTACTGGGAAGTAGACATTTTTGAAAAATACAAAGAAATGAAAAAGAAAGCCAAGTCAGCAATGTCGAATAAACGAAAATAGTGCACAATCAGATTTCTATAAGAGAAATTGTTTCAAATCGAATGAGAATTTAAAAAAAATTCTTGATGAAATAAAAAATTAGTAGGAGGACCAACGTTCTTGGCGCGGAGTTTTTCAACTCATTGTCTACTATCAATCTAATTCTCCATCTTCTGATCCGCGCCAAAGACGTTGGTCCTCCTACTAATTTTTTATTTCATAAATTACGTAAGGCCGTTTTCCAATTTTTTTAAGCCCCTCCCACCCCTACATAAGGCAACGTAAGTTTGTTGGCACCTCCTCCCCCACCTCTTACGTAAGGTTTGCCTATGAAAAATGGAATTTGAGAAGAAAAAAAAGTTGGAATTATTTTTTTTTTCTAGAACATTTTCATTTTTTATTTTCAAATATTCTCCAAACATGAATAGCATCATTATAGTTCTTTCAACATGACACACATAGGAACTTTGTTTAATGAAGACTAGCAATTCATTCGCATTAATCCACGCTGGTCCACGGATTGGTTATCCATTCCTCCACAGAATCAATAATTGGAAGTCCAGCTTCTCCATTCTCTGGGGCCACATGTGGGATTTCAACATCTTCTAGGCTGAAATCAACATCGTCAGTATCTCTCCACTCAATGTCTTCTCCTTTAGTGTCCTCATCTTCGATGATATACAGTAGTTCTTGTCTACGGCTAGCTACTACTCGTTTAGGACGACATTTTGGTGTTGATCGTGATTTAGAATTCTTGTGAATGGACTTCACGTTTGAATTTGCTGCTTTCTTCGATGCAAAGTATAATTCGCATTGCGAGCACATCCTACTCTCCAATTGACTTTGAACCGTTGGACAGCATGCATCATAAGGCATTTTGATCCATTTATCTCTTGGCACCGTGATTGAGAGTCGTTGAAACAACGGTAAGAACCGTGCTTCCTCTCCAGTGTTGTGAGTTACTGATATTGAAAGCTGGCCCGTCTGATCATCTTGTTTCAAACGACAGGGTGGTGGGAGGAACCGATCTGGTTGTATCAGAGATAGATCACTTCGCATAGGACCACAACATTCTTCCTCTCCACATTTTGCAATCTAAAAAAAACAGACGAATTATCCCTATGTCTGTAATAATTTTTTTAATCATCTTCGTAATGTTTAGTAACCTGTAAGAGATACTGGGATTCCCTCGCGTGCTTTTCATACCATGATGCATCTACCTCCAGTAGTAATGCAGATTCACCACCAGGGTCTCTGTATTCAGCCAGTACTTCATACCCATCAACGACCAATTCACTCCATAATAAAGCTAGTGTCTCTCCGGCTTTTGCAAAGTTTTTTTGTTCAAGATCTACATCAATAGTTTTCCCAGATCCATTCAGATGATTTCCATAAGCATCATGTGGGAGAATCAGACCTGCTAGTTGCCTGCTGAGAGGTGCCATCCTCCTCTCCACACGATTGTACGCACTGCGCCCAGGTGCATTAGTGGCAATGTATAAGGTATCCAAATTGTACATTTTGAAGTGCTGAATCCCAAACCCAACGACTTTGGGGTATCTAAATGAAAGAAAAAATTACTCGTTGATTACTCATTTCAAGTCTAAATAGAAGAATAATTAAAAACTGCAGACAGCATCTAGATGAACAGAACGAAACATAAGAATAAAAAATTAATATACCGTGGGTTCTCGTCAGGCCCGCCATGCACTGTAAAAATAAGTACAGGCTTAACTGTATCTCCAGATTTCAAGATGTCATTGAAACAGTCCAATTTCATGAGCCTGTGGAAATCATCAGAATGCGTGGCGGCTGTCGATGAGGAATGATTCCCACTTCTGATTGCGACGTATGTAGGTCCAGAGTAAGTCATTGCATCTGGAGATCCAATTCCACCTGGTTTGATGTGAATGCCCGCGTAGACTGATGGAATTAGCTTGTGCCTCTCAGCAATCACCCAGTCGTGATCTGGTAATTTCACTCGAACTAGGACATGCATAAGTAACGGAGATTGTTTATGAGCTGCTGTGAGACCAATTGGGACACGAGCTTTATCATCTTGGGATATGAAGCCCACTTGTTTGGGACCTAAGAATGAGGCTAACGATTCCAAATAACGGATTGGCGTCGTGCAACAATGACTATCAGGATGAGCTTTGTGACTCTCCGTTTATGCCCTGCAAAGTCGCACTGGTGCAGTTGCAACATGTCTCTTTCCCTCATGTGTACTGAAATTTTTAGGTAGCAGTCGCAAATACATTGCACTTCTAGATATTGAAATTCCCATTTCATTGAGCTGGTTGTGAAGATCATCGAGTGTTCTACAGCTTCTAATATCATCAGCACGACGCTGGTCATGTGCTGCACTACCATATAATGCAATTTCTGCGATTATTTTAAGAAGCTCGGGTTGTTCCTCTTCAAGGCGTGGTCTACCGACAGTTTTTCGTATTCCCAGGGCAGAAACAGTTGTTTCAGTAGCTACAGCCAGTTGTTTCATTTTTTTCTTTAATTTTATTTTGAATTTTTGCTGGTGGTGTGCATTTAGCTTTTTAGTTTAAAAAAAAAAACGTAAAAATGTACAAGTCTCAGCAGGACTTACGGGAAACCCCCACCTCGCACATTGATGAGTTATCAGTCTGAGTGACTCACCGATATCATTCATCTTGAAAATAATCAATCATTGTTTTCACATATTTGCTCATGTTTGAATACATTTGAAAATGTTTGCAAATGTTTCCAAATGTTTGCAAATGTTGTCAAATGTTTGCAAAATGTTTGCAAATATTGTCAAATGTTTCCAATATCAATGTCAATGTTGTCAATATCCAATTCTATCCATGTGTCCACAGGTTTTTATAGTATTATATTTCATACAAGTCTTACCAGGACGGTTCCCCCACCATGCGAGTCGATAACTCATCGATGACGTCATCCGTCTCGAACCTTCCACAGCTTGTGGCGCTAATATCCGATTTCATGCAAGTTTCAACAGGTCATTATATTTCATACAAGTCTCAACAGGTTTTAGAGGGATTCCCCCACCACGTGAGTCGATGAGTCATCGATAACGTCATCCTTCTCGAGCATTCCGCAACTGTGACGCCGCCACTAGTATCATATTCCATACAAGTCCCAACAGGACTCACGAGGTACTCCCACCACACCCCCGAGTTGATGAGGATGACTCTTCGATGACGTTATCCGTATAGAAAATTCCATGACGGTGGCGCCAATATCCAATCACAAGTTTCGACCGGTCAATATATTTCATATAAGTCCCAACAGGACTCAGGGAGTACCCCCACCATGCAAGTCGATGACGTCATCCGTCTCGAACGTTTCGCGACGGTGGCGCCAAAATCCGATTTCATGCAAGTTTCAACAGGTCATATTTCATACAAGTCCCAACAGGTCTTAGAGGGATTCCCCCACCACGCGAGTCGATCAGTCATCGATGACGTTATCCTTCTCGAACGTTCCGCGACGGTGGCGCCACCATTCCGGAACCTTCCACGACGGTGACGCCCCTGGTGGCGACTTGACGAAGTTATACAGAACCCGCTTAGCATACCTACTGACATATATGCGTCTATATGTTGAATGTATGTGGCATATATCCAGGATACATTCATTTATATATGTTCCGCATATATAATTTTCCGTGCGGGAGGGGGTTCGTATATGAGGGTTCATACCCTAGTAGAAATTAAATGTCCGAACGCCGTCGCCCGGACTTTTCAGGGGAGACTCTCGTATAGCATACGTGTGGCTAATGGTGGAACGTCCCCGCTAGCGCGCCCAATATACGAGTCCAAATGTCCGGGCGCGCGCGCCCACCCAATGTCGCCCTGCCGGTCAGAATTTCTACTATGGTGTTATGGGGTGGTGGCGAGGTTATATACAAGAGGGTCTTATACACGGAGAGAAAGTTGTACATAAGGAAATCTTTGTGTGGGACAGAGTGCATGTGGGGCGCGGAGGTTGTACTGAATTCTCGATGCACAGCTCCCCCCCCCCTCTCTCGGAGTCTGCTTAGCTCGTTGGTTGCATCGAGAATTCAATACAACTTCCTTCCCCCCAATTTTTCGGTAAAAATTCACTATCTCCCTTCGTTTTGGAAATATGTTTGAAAAACTCACCAATGAAGTAAGTCGTGTACGGGAGGGGGGGGGGGGGGTTGCATGAAGAGAATTCCCCCCCCCCGAATTCTCTTTAAAACTGTTCCCACAATTTGTATACTACAATGGGAATAGAATCCAATAAATTTAATTTAATCTAACCGCAATGAAAAATTGGAAAGAAAACAATAAAATGAATTCATACAATATAATATAATCTAGCCCCGTAATATATAAGTGAATTCGCAAATCCACTTATAAATAAAGAGTATTCGCTCCCCCCCCCCAATTCTC